GAGAAATGAGGCATTATTGTCTGATAGCCGAAAGCCACTGTCTTCTCATTTCTGCATCTGTCTGCCTGCTCGATTCTTCCTTTCTACAAAATGGCTTTCTCTGCTTCTCTGTATACCTGCGAAAAGTGGCCCCTCTAAAGCTGAGAGATTTCTAAGTCGTCAGTTTGAGAGCAGTAACACATGGCCTGGCTTCTTTGATTTTTACTTCCTTATTTCAGGCAGCGGGTTAGTTTGAAGCAACTCTCCCCAGGTACAATCAGCTATTCTGCTGCTGCTGCCACTAAATCACTTCAGTCGTGTCTGACTGTGTGACCCCGTAGACGGCAGGCCACCAGGCTCCTCCATCCATTGGATTTTCCAGGCAAGAGTACTGGTGTAGGTTGCCATTGCCTTCTCTGACAATCAGCTATGAGCTAGGGACAAAGTTGGGCTTCCCAGGTGGCTCAGTGATAAAGAACCTGCCTGTCAATGCAGGAGACATGGGTTCGATTCCTGGGTCTGGAAGATCCCCTGGAGAAGGAAATGGCAGCCCACTCCAGTATTCTTGCCTGGGATATCCTACGAACAGAGGAGCCTGGTGGGCTATAGTCTGTGGGGTCTCAAAGAGTTGGACACAACTTAGCAACTAAACAACAATAACAAGGGCAAAGTCAGGACATTATAGGTGACTGACCCTGTGAGCCATGATGGTGGTGATGGGGGTAGTTCCCAGGAGAGGGGATCATAGGTTAAGCAGTGTCTGCATAACTTGACCTTGATTGATGTGAACTTGTGTGCTTCATTCAACGTGTGATCATTTATAAGTATTATGCTTGGGAGTCTTGCTTATCTGTAGAGTATGTGTGTGTATGTGTGTGTGTGTGTGTGTGTGTATGAATGTGTGTGTGTGTGTATGAATGTGTGTGTGTGTATGAATGTTTGTGTGTGTGTGTGTATGAATGTGTGTGTGTGAGAGACAGAGAGAGAGAGAGAGAGGCTTAGTATCCGTGACTACTGACTTCCCATCCTGTCTTTGTTTCATTTCTCTCTGAGGCAGTTCCTGTGCTATGAGTCGGGGACTCAGTGGTGAACAAAGAAGACACAGTCCTTGCTGTGACCCACCAGGGAGGCGGATGTTGCTCAGAGTATCACACAATGAATGTTTGAACTGAGGTCTTAAGGGCAAAAGGGTTGAGCAGTTCCATGCAGTGGACAAGTGATGTCAAGTTCCCGAGGTTGGAGGAAGAGGTGAATCTGAGGAATCGGAAGAAAGCTTGTGCGGCTGGGGTTCAGAGGACAAGGCAACAGCTGTTAAGCGAGCGCAGCCCGGACCTCATGGCACAGACTCTTAGGGACACTGGAAGGGCTTTGCATGTGTGCTAAAGTCACTTCAGTCATGTCTGACTCTTTGTGACCCTCTGGACTGTAACCCAACAGGATCCTCTGTCCATGGGATTTCCCAGGCAAGAATAATGGAGTGGGTTTCCATTCCCTTCTCCAGGGGATCTTCCCAACCTAGGGATCGAACTCCAGTCTCTTGCATTGCAGGCAGATTCTTTACCGTCTGAGCCACCAGAAAGTAAGGGCTTTAGGGTTTATCTATTCCTAATATTGTGGGAAACAGCTTGAGGGTTTACAGTCATCAGAATTGTAAAAGCGATGCTCTTTTTACTACTCTGATTCTGTGTCATGGTCTCATATCCCTAGACCCACAGGAACCAGGTCGCCCCTGGGTGCTGCTTCCCTGGCCATGGTGGAGGGATTCCCCACAGTCTTCCCACAGTCCACAAAGGCCCTGCAATTGAACCTGGTTATGGCCCAGACTTCTGTTTCCAGGATAAGACTTCCCTTTGGAGACTTGGGGTCTCTCCTGCCAGGAGACCTTACCGGCAACCATCTTAGCCCTAAATAGAGCTTCTAATGACATCCAGCCTTAAGATCTCACCCCTATTCCTGACACCTGGTCCCCTGGTCCCTCCTGCTTCAACCCTTCCTTCCAACACCACCCCCCGCCCCCCACACCACTGCCACCCTTACCGTTCTTCCTGTGCAGAGCACTGGCCCAAAGCAAGTCAGTCACTGTCACTGGGGTTCTTCAGAAACACCCCCACCCTCCACGGCCAAGGGTCACCATCCACCAGGAATCCCCAAATTCCCTAATGCCAGGTCTTCCCAGAGCCATCAGTCCTCCCCAACTCCGGAACATTCAGCTCCAGGTTTCTCAGGGGATCTGGGTACCCAATGCCAGGTTCTGATCCTTCAGACCTGGAGGATCAGCTTTGGAGGAGTGCTGGCAGGCCTGGAGAGGAGAGCTTGGGAGTGGACCAGGTCTTGGGGTAGTTAGAGGTGCTCTCAAGTGGTCTTTCCACCCTGGATGTGCCCCTTGTCAGGGAAGCCCCAGTCTATGCTCTGATCTACATGTCATCCCTTGGTCCTGATAGGCAGTCCAGTGTACCATCTCTGTACTGACTCCAGGCTAGGCCAGGCCCCTGACTTCCCAGGGGAGATATCAGACCCGTAGCCTGCAAGAATATAGCTAATACTGACTTGGCCAAAATGTTCATTCAGTGTTTTTATACCATCTTACGGGAAAAAAAATGACCCAACACCTAAATGATGTTTCCTGTGTCCCGGGCACCATCCTGTGTCCTGAGTTTATTAGCTCAGTCCTCACCAGCCCCCACAAGGGGAGGCCACAGTCTTACCCTCATTTCCCCAGATGTTTCCAGGATCGCATAGATGTCATTCGCGAGGCCAGGGAATCTGAAACTCCGGGCACTAGGGCCTACCTCCCAGGACTGCCCTCCTGATGCAATAACAGATTCTCACCATCCTCGCCTGCCCCATCGCCCAACTTTCCACATTTACAAAACTGAGTTCCTGATTTTTTTTTTTTAGCCAATAAGCGTTTATCTACAAAAGCTGTTTCAAAAATTCCCAGCCAGCCCCAGCTCAAGGGCCCTGGCATTCTAGGTGGTGAAGCTGGGCTGCAGAGAGCAGGAAGTAAGGCCCCATGGGAAGTCCCTGCTGTCGGGGCCAGGTCGTGGCCTTGCCTGGCTCTGACACCTGGCACCTTGCACCCTGCGTCCCCTGGCCTGACTTCAGGCCCCGTCGTGGGCTGAGCCAAGGAGCTAGCCCAGGCCCCAGAGACATGGTTGGGGGACATGAACTGCTCCTCCCAGACACATCTGAATGATAAACCTTCCCTCAAACCACTGGCCTGTCCTTTCTGGACAGAGGAGACACGCTTGAAGGTGGTGGGATCCGGATGGGGGGCAGCCACCAGCCTGGCCTCCAGTTCACCTATGCCCTAAGCAGTGGTCCCCAACCTTTTTGGCATCAGGAACCGGTTTCATGGAAGACAGTTTTTCCACGGAAGGGGCTGGTGGGTGGGGTGGTGATTCAGGTGATAACAGGAGGGATGGGGAATGGTAGATGCCCGAGGCGTTGGGGACCTGTGCCCTAAGGCATTGACGACAGCAAGGTCCTATTTCAAGGCACGCAATTTACAAAGCCTTCCAGAGGCTGATTGTCATTCCTTCTCGCAGCCAGCTCCTCACCTCAGGTGGGGCAGAGAGTGACTGCTCCCTTTGCAGTTATCAGAATAAAGCCCAGGTAATAGAAGGGACCCATCCAGGGTCACACAGCTCTTCAGCTGCAGACCTGGGATGAGACCCACAGTGTAGAGCCTTGTGGGAAGCCCTTGCCTCTGCTCCCATGTATCAACCTGGATAGTTTTAAAGAATCCTGAGCTGTCTGCTCCTTGCTGGCAAGGTCTGGGGACCATGAAGCTATTGAGCTGGTCAGTTCTGAATGGCAAACAGGAGGGTGGGTTGGGAACACAGAATCTTCCAGAGAAGGTGGGGAGAGCCTGACCTCTTGGACAGCATCATGCCAGCGGTTGGGCATAAGACCTGAGGGTAACATGGATACTCCCTGCTCCCTAAGCCAAGCCCAAACCATACAGGCCTCAAATCCACCAGGAAGATCCCACCTAAGAGCCTTTGTGTTTGCTGTCCCTCCACCTGGAACATTCTTTCTCTTCCTTAATCATCCAGGTCTCATCTCAGCGGTAAAGATTCCACCTGCAATGCAGGAGACACAGGAGATGCAGGTTTGATCCCTGGGTCGGGAAGATCCCCTGGAAGAATGCACAGCAACACATTCCAGTATTCTTGCTTGGAGAATCCCATGGACAGAGGAGCCTGGACAGAGGGCTTCAGTCCATAGCTTGCATTCTCAGAGAGGCTTCCCCTGACCACTTTCTCTAAAATCGCACCTATCCCAGGTCCCTTGAAAACCTCATGTTTTTTCTTTCCCCTCTAGCACTTACTGCTATCTGAAGTTAGTTTACTAGTTTCTTGTCAGCCTTCTCCATAAGAACATCAGAGAGAGGTTTCCCTCATAGCCCAGTGGTAAAGAGTCCCCTGGCCAATGCAAGAGACATGGATTCAATCCCTGGTCCCACATACTGTGGAGCATCTAAGCCCGTGCACCGTAACTACATAGCCTGTGCTCCAGAGCCTTGGAACCACAACTACTGAAACCCAAGCACCCTGAAGCCCATGTTCTGCAACAAGAGAAGCCACGGCAATGAAAAATCCAAGCACACAACAAGAGAGTAGCTGCTCCTCTCCACAGCTAGAGAAAGCCCATGAAGAAACAAAGACCCAGCACAGCCAAAAATAAATAGATCAAAATATTTTTTAAAAGATCATCAGGGACCTTCTGTGGCTTTGTCTGGAGGCTCACCAGAAGAGAAGCTTCTTCTGGTTAAGGTTAAAGGCCCACAGGGTTAAGTCTACACACATTGTCTGGATGAAGATGCACACACAGGCACAGACTGGGGGTCACTGGGGTTGGGTGGGAGCAAAGGTCCAGCCCCACTAATCCAGCTCAGCTCCTCGCATGTGACCTCTGATTTTATGCAGATCAGAACCCGTCTGGCTTCTGTTAGCCTGAGTCACCGTTCTGGAAGCTGGGCTTGCCCACCTCCTGGCAGTGGCCAGCCCTGCGTGGGTATGTGGGAAGGCAGGCTGGGGCTCCTCCTCTCACCCTCCGCCAGGAATCGGGTAGGAGGGAGTGGTTCTGCCTTGGGAGGGGCTGGTGGCCCAGGTGTGGCCTGGCTGTGCCTCCTTTCTGTGTCTCCGCTCCGTCTGGAGCCAGAGCCTGGAAGACCTTGGAGGACCTCATCTTTCACCATGGCGTTAGGTAAGTTCCTTCTGCTTCTATTTTTCCATCTGAAACATGGGAATGAAAAGTATTTACCCAATGCTCTCAGACTCTGAAGAACAAGATTCAAGGGGAATGTCAGGGGCATGGAGCTCCTGGCCTGTCTAAGAGGCCTGGCCACCATGCAGGGAACAGCCACCATGGGGAGACTGTGCAGATGCTCTGAGGCAGGGGCTGCAGACCCCGTGCATACTGAGTGAGGAGTCGGCCCAAGGAAGCATGCATGTGTGAGAAAATAATCATTGGAGCCCATTGGTCATTTCCTACTGTCAATAGAGAGGTGGAAAACTGGAGAAATGTTTCTGTAAAGCATGAGAAAAAACACTGTGAGCTCAATGAGAAATACTAATACAATCTGGTCCTCAGCCATAGATCTGAGGGGTAATAGAGAAGGGCAGAGACTGTGTAGAATGAGGGGCTGTCACTAGTCAGTACCAGCAAGTGGCTGGCCCGTGAGAATGCAGGCCCAAGTGGTCACAACTTCTCATTTTTCTCTTTTTTTTGGGGGGGGGGGGTCACATCATGCAGCATGTGGGATCTCAGTTCCCTGACTGGTGATCAAACCCACAACCCCTGCAGTGAAAGCATGGAGTCTTAGCCACTGGACTGCCAGGAAAGTCTCAGAACTTCAGTTTTCAAAAAGAATTGAATATTCTGATGTGATGTATAGCATTCTGGTAAATGAAACAGCAGTAGTGTTAGTCGCTCAGTCATGTTTGACTCTGCAACTCCACGGACTGTAGCTCACCAGGCTTCTCTGTCTATGGGATTCTCCAGGCAAGAATACTGGAGTGGATTGCCATTCCCTTCACTAGAGGATCTTCCCGACCCAGGGATTAAACCCGGGTCTCCTGCATTGCAAGCAGATTCTTTACTGTTTGAGTTACAGGGAAGTCCCAAAATGAAACAATAAAGAAAGCAAATAAAATATTCAATCTATGAGCTACTGCTTTGCAACTTCTGGTTAAAATGTGTATGGGGTAGAGAAAAGATATTAAGGTTGGTGGTCTGAAGACCCAAGTTTTAATTCTAAGTTGGCCTCTAGTGGGTAACTTTTTTTCTCCTTTCTGGACCTCACTTTCCTCAATGTCAAGAGGAGGCTGGCAAACTCAGGGTTTCAAGGACACAGTAATAACTAATACTTCCACAGCGCTTGCTCTAGCTGGGCATTCTGCTGAACTATTTACATGGTTTAATTCTCCCCATAACCACATGAGGAAGGACTACTATTGTTCATATTTTCAGAAGAGGAAACTGGGCCACAGAAAGGTTAAGTAATCTGCTCAAAGTAAGACAGCCAGTATAAGGGAACAAGCTGGGTCTGACAGCAGACAGTCTGTTTCCAAACCATAGAATATAGTCTAGTGGCACAGACACAAAATGTGATCATGGAGGGAGAAATGCTTTGTAAACCACAGCCAGGATTCCTGAAGCAGCCGACCTTCCCCCTTCCCCTAGAGGGTGTAACAGTCTCCAGTGGGCTGTGTTAATAGCACATGGTCTTGCGTACCTTTCAAATGTGTAAAGGAAGATGCAACTCCCAGGAAGAGACAGTGATATACTATGAAGAAATCACTATACTTATAAATGGCTCATTCCAAAATATTTTCACCTGCACATAGTAGATGTTAAATTAAAACTTGGTGCTAAAGTATAACTTGGAGTGGATTGAATTCAAGCAACATATGCATGTGAGCCTAGTGAAGACACTGTGATTCCTGGGAGGAGGAACCCACATTCTCTAACACCTGGAGCATAGGTGGTACCATTGATGCCAACCAGAGAGGACTCAGAGACAATCATGGTTTGACAGAAGAGCTGTAAAAGTGAGGAAAGAGAAAAGGATGAAGATGGAACTGCCCTGTGTGTACTGCTACCCTGGACAAGCCATTTACTTCAGCGGAACTCCGTTTACACCACTGCACTTATAGCTGATGCGTGTGAAGGAGGAGGAAGAGGAGGAGGAGGGGATGAAGATGATGACAATGAAAAAGCAATTATTTTCTACAACTTAAGTCTGAAAACAATTTCAGGCTACTAGATTGTGACCATGTCTTGATTACATAGTTGGAGGAAGTTAAATATGAATGGCTTAATTGAAAATTAACTTGATCAAAATGAAAGTGATTGATTAACACTATATCTTCTATAGTCTCTTTTCTTGAGTGTTAAGACTTACCACGGTTTTGGAGTACTCTAGCATGCTTTACCTACCTGTCTATTCATGTAATAAAATGGACAGCATCTCTGCTACTAGGTTACTTGGTAAGGAACAATGATTGATATTTAATTGTGCCTTCAATTTGCATCACTAGCTACCAGATGATGCCAGCACCTTCTAAAGTTTTCTTGTGGGTTAGTCACTCAGTCTTGGCCGACTCTGTGACTCCATGGACTGTACCTTGCCAGGCTCCTCCGTCTATGGGATTTTCCAGGCAAGAATATTGGAGTGGGTTGCCAATTTCCTTCTCCAGGGCATCTTCCTGTCCCAGGGATCGAACCTGGGTCTCCTGCACTGTAGGCAGATTCTTTACCATCTGAGCCACCAGGAAAGGTTTCTGAAGGGTGAACAGTCTGTTTTCCGGGAACTGAAATGTTCCCAGGATGCAGGGCTTTCAGTGGGGCTTCTCCAATGGCTCAGCAGGTAAAGAATCTGCTTGCCTTGCAGGAGACACAGGAGAGGCAGGTTTGATTCCTGGGTTGGGAAGAACCCCTGGAGAAGAAAATGAAAATCCATTCCAGTACTAGGAGCCTGGCAGACTATAGTCCAATGGGTCAAAAACGGTTGGATGAGACTAAGCACAGGGCTTTCAGTACTGAAACCAAGAATATCCTGGAAAAACTAGGGAAATTGGCCATTTTAGTCCATAACCAGGTAAAGAGGTTTCTCTTTAACCTATGTAAGGTTTTAGAATCATCCTTTCTTTACTAGCAAAAAAACCTCCTAAAATTTTCAGTTATAGAATAAATCATTGCTCTATATGATGTGAGTTCAAACACATAGGGAACAGTATAAGAACAAATATAATTCTTGTTCCTGTTAACTATGTGATGAAGCATAGGGAACAATGTAAGAAAAAATATAATTCTTGTTCCTGTTAACTATGCGATGAAGCAGAGAGGAAAAGATGTCACCTGCTTCTCTAGCAGGACTGCAGTGTGGAGGAACTGGGTTCAAATCTTGGCTCAACCAAGATCTGGGGCAAGTGATTTAATTTGTCTGAGCCTTGATTTTTTTATTCTACAAAGTGAGTATATCACCATCTTGAGAGTGTATCTCTCAAGGTGGATCTATACCCACCTTGCTCAACTGTTGTATGTGTGCGTGCTCAGTCACTCAGTTCTGTCTGTTTCTTTGTGACCCCATGGACTGTAGCCCACTAGGTTCCTCTGTCCATAGGATTTTCCAGGCAAGAAGACTACCCGCACTTGGGCTTCCCTGGTGCCTCAGTTGGTAAAGAATCCACCTGCAGTGCAGGAGACCTGGGTTCAATACCTGGGTTGGGAAGATCTCCTGGAGAAGGAAATGACAACCTACTGGGAAATCCCATGGACAGAGGAGCCTGGCAGGCTACATTCCATGGAGTCACAAGAGTCAGACAGGACTTAGCAACTAAATCACCACCAAACAAGACTTGCATAAAAGAGTAGAACACAGAGGCCAAAACACTGCCGGCGAGAAACAGAGTTGTTCCCTCCCCCAGGTTCTTGTCTCCCCTCCCCTCACCCTGCCTGCAGAGACCTAATCTATCATCAAAGCCCAGAAGGCAAGAGCAAACCAGTACCTTGGAAAACATGAAGAAAACTTAGAAAATAGTGGCTTTCAATGCAGATTCATATCAAACCCAGAAACCGTTGGAACAGAGGTCATCTTGGAAAACTCTGAACCTCAGAAAGGACTCACGGTGAGTTTACCATTTGTATCTGGTGATAGGGTCCACATGGGGTCTCACTAACAAAGAATAAATCACAGTGATCCTTAAGACTGACCAAAGTGCCCAAATGGCCTCCTGTTATCTCACTGGTGCCTATCTTCCCAAAGCTGCAAGACCACCAGATTCCAGACCTCCGGCTACATGAAGATCCCTTCAGAGATTTTTCATTTGGTGGGATATAAGAAGGACTCTGTCAGAAAGGGACTTGCAGCCTTTTGATTTAGGATAAGGGCTGAAGGTCAATCTGCTATAACTGCTTCCTGTGGGACAGGGATGACATGGGGATAAGATAAGAAAAGGCTGGAATGTGGGTCAAGGAAATTTGTGTGAGGTCGAAGTTTTTGATAATCTGAGTGAGTTAGAAGTAGCTTGTGGATAGTTCAGTTGGTGAAGGCTTGTAAGCAATCCCGAAGAAATTTTGAAAAAAGACGCATTAATCTTGGGCCAAAAGTTAGAAAAAGGGTTAAGTAGAAGGAGAGGGCCTAGGAAAGACAGGACCCAGGGCATCCAATTCCAATTGCTTAACCAGTTTTCCCATGAATTACTGAGGTGTTGGCGTATTCTCAAGGCCCTGTTTGTCAGATTTCTTGCTGCTTCCTTTACAAAGCCTGATTTATTAGTGTAGAAGCAGCAGGCTTCCTCCAAAAATAGGCATAGGCCTCCTTTTTCTGCTGTGAGGAGGTCTAATCCTCTTCTGTTTTGGAGGATCACGGCTGCCAGGGAATCTAGCTGGTTTTGGATAGTGATAAGGCTGTTAGGTATTTCTTCTAGGCTGTGAGTGAGGTCTTTAGAAAAGCTTTGATAGTAATTTAAAGAAGTTGTAAGTCCAGCGGTCCCTGTCCCAATCCCAGCAGCTGTTCCTAAACTGATTAGTAGAGGAATGAATTGAATTTCCAGTGTGGGTTGGTTATAAGTTAGTGGGATAGGAAGGGTCCGATTGTTAGGAGCAATAGAAATATCTGGGGCCAGATATACCAGGGTGCAAGTTCCTGTCAGCTAGTGGGAATACATAAATAAGCAGTGGTTCCATATAGGAGAAATATT